ATGAAAAATGAGCAAAGTGAGTGAGGCCACTGCTGAAGGAATATGGAGGGGAAGCAGACAGGGTCTGGAAAGAGCTGTACCTGGCACGTAACTTACACTTCCTGCATGAGGAAGAGCACCAGTTCAAGAGGCAGGAGATTGAGCTCCCAATCTGCAGCTTGTCACATGACCATGGACAGGTTGACTAAAAAGTTAGTGCCCCAAAGACCTCTGCAACTTAAGAACAAGAAATCCTCTCCCAAATATCATGAGCCAAAAGCATAGAGATTATAAATTTGCTTTATTAAAATATTGTTTCACCACAGCTTTTATGAAAACTCTCAGAAAACCTTACAACCAGGACAGGTTCATATGCTGTTCTTTGTGCTTGAAACAGGCAAAATATAAGGACACATGACCTTCACAAAATACCCCTTGATTAATACAACTTCTGAAGGAATCCCATCAAGAAGACTGGAAAGTTCAAATCAAACCTCATTTATTTCTTCTATTGTTATCTGGCTTATATTGCAGAAAGATCCCCAGAATAAATTAACCAAGGTGCCTTCACCCAGGTATAAAACTGGTATACTCATCCAGGTATAAAACTGTTCAAAAAGTGGTGTGAACATACCTATAGAGACTGTATGTCTATTCAAGACTAAGTTATCAGTGACATATTCACACATAACAGTAGGTGCTCTCCAAACTAACTTCTACTGAGCAGACTAGCTGGATTCAGAACCACTTTCCACCCTCCAACAAGGCACAGTGATGACCACAGGAGACAAAAGGCTGGCCCCAACGAACCTCACAGCATGTTCACTAGCTAAGCTGTACACTACTTAGGCACCAGCTGTGTTCTAGATCCCATTTATATCACATGTTTGTGAGTCTGTAATTATGTAATTTAGTTTGATATTTAATACACTAAGGCCAGATAACACTAAAAAGAAACTTTCCTGTTATTTGTTATACTTTTCAGTTGTTTATAATGAGCATGTTTAATTTATAAGCAAAGGGAGAAAGGGCTAACATAATCTTTTATGTTTAAGATTGAAAGTGATATATAAACAGATAGACACATCTATGACTGCAGGGCTGACACCTTGTCAGTGACCTCTGGACAAAAGCCGTGAAACTATATCAGCTGTGTTCTCAGACAGCCAGCTCAGTGTTGTGCTTCCTGCTCATATCTCCAAGGCCTCAGAGGGAATACGCAGTCCTGAAATGTGACCAGCACATCTCCTATACCTGAAGCTTGATAAATGTGAAATAGTCATTTTTCTCTGTTAGTCCTAATCCCCTTCCTACTAATAGGGAGGGGTGGGTCACAATTACCATAGCCCTAATTCCAAGACACTGAACCAGAACCAAAGTATCTGAAAAGCTAGACAATTAGGAATATGAAAAGATGACCTTGAATAAGAACAGGAATAGGTATTTTCTGTTGACAATTATAACTCAGCATTCTGCCTCAACAGTAGCATAAACGAACCAGGGACAGACTTAAGAAACAAGCCCCTGCCTTCCTAGACTGATAGGAGACTCTACTCCACTAAAGTAGTAGATTCCAGGAAATGCCTGTGGATGGAATCTGTTTGGTTCCTACAGCATTTCATCTCTGTGTTCACATCTGAGTATTTGAAAAAACCTCTCTCAATGAAATATACATCTTCCTAACTCAATTTCAGATTGAGATCCATTCCTAAATTTATAAGCAGCATCTCCACAACCCAGTCAGTTCAGGCTTAACTCACTCACTCTTTCAATGCCAGATCAAGGTGCAATCCAATCCTACCTACCTCTCTCCACCACACCATGTGTCTGCAACATGGACTCTGTGTTGCTTTCTCTAATTATACTTTTCATAAGCCCATGGCACACCCACACAGGTTTCCTAAGCTCATGGGCTTTCTGCCATCCAAATGACATTTGCAAAAATGTGCTATCAAAAGGATCATTAGGTATCAGAAACTGTCCAATCCTGGCTTTATTGTTTTACTAGGTACATGACTTTGAGTCACTGACATCTCACTAATCTTG